GCAACACCTGCACCTCCATGGCTCCAATTGTACAGGGATTTTTTAAGGGAGTGTAAAGGCTCCCCTGCTCCCAAAGTCCAAAATAGGTAATTTTACGTAAATATTTCTATTTTAATTTCATCAAATAATGTATAATTACTCTAAAAGGTTGTTTTAGTATTTGTAAAAATCAACTCGCCCTTACAAGCATTACTCAGTATCTTCAAAGAGCCTCCAACTTTATTCTGGAGTTCATAAAAACATGTTTCACCTAAACAGGTTAAAGTCTGGGACATGGAGAACTTCCTCATCCTAGAAGATACCTTCAAGAATCTGTCAGTTGTTCTCATTCCACAGTACCCTTTATACACTGCCTGGCCAAAAAAAAAAGTTGCCACCTGGATTCAACTAAGCAAAGAGGTACAAGCCTCCTATTGGATAATTACTGCATGGGCGATTATCTTTCAACTGGCAACAAGTTATTTAACCCCAACTGGTGCAATGACTTGCTTCTCATTTCCTAGACAACCATGTCGAAAGACACATCCCGTGGTTGTGGAAAAGATGTTAGTCTGTTTGAGAAGGGTCAAATCATTGGCATGCATCAAGCAGAGAAAACATCTAAAGAGATTGCAGAAACTACTAAAATTGGGTTAAGAACTGTCCAACGTATTATTAAAAACTGGAAGGATAGTGGGGACCCATCATCTTCAAGGAAGAAATGTGGCCAGAAAAAAATCCTGAATGATCGTGATCTGCGATCACTTAAACGTGTGGTGAGATCAAATCGAAGAAAAACAACAGTAGATCTCAGGGCTGTGTTTAATACTGAAAGTAAGAGCATTTCCACACACACAATGCGAAGGGAACTCAAGGGATTGGGACTGAACAGCTGTGTAGCCATAAGAAAACCACTAACCAGTGAGGCTAACCAGAAAAAAAGACTTCAATTTGCTAGGGAGCATAAAGATTGGACTGTGGAGCAATTGAAGAAGGTCATGTGGTTTGATGAGTCCAGATTTACCCTGTTCCAGAGTGATGGGCCAATCAGGGTAAGAAGAGAGGCAGGTGAAGTGATGCACCCACCATGCTTAGTACCTACTGTACAAGCCTGTGGGGGCGGGGTTATGATCTGGGGTTGCTGCAGTGGGTCAGGTCTAGGTTCAGCAACAGTATGTGCTCAAAGAATGAGGTCAATTGACTACCTGAATATACTGAATGACCAGGTTATTCCATCAATGGACTTTTTCTTCCCTAATGGCACAGGCATATTCCAAGATGACAATGCCAGGATTCATCGGGCTCAAATTGTGAAAGGTTCAGGGAGCATGAGACATCATTTTCACACATGGATTGGCCACCACAGAGTCCAGACCTCAACCCCATTGAGAATCTTTGGGATGTGCTAGAGAGGGCTTTGCGCAGCGGCCAGACTCTACCATCATCAATGCAAGATCTTGATGAAAAATTAATGCAACACTGGATGGAAATAAATCTGTTGACATTTCAGAAGCTTATGGAAACAATGCCACAGCGAATGTGTGCCGTAATCAAAGCGAAAGGCGGTCCAACAAAGTATTAGAGTGAGTGACTTTTTTGGTGGCGACTTTTTTTTTGGCCAGGCAGTGTAACTGGGCTGGTTCCATTGCATGTCCAATAGCATCCCAAAAGATAGCTGTGTTTGAGGCTGTTTCTTAATAGATGTCTTTTATTTAGCTTAAATGCTATGAATTAACCAATGAGAAGCTTACAATGCCATGGCATCATCATCTGGTCTTTCCCAGATTTTTTAAATGCATGTTGATTTGACTGTGTGTGTAATAAATGTAAGAAAAGAATTGTATTTTCTAATTGATTTAAACAAATAGTTTTGGTTATCCTGTCCTAAAGCAGGAGATGTTTTAGTTTCATTTAATGCTAGACTATATGCAAACATTTTATCTTCTTTTTTTTTTCTATTTGTAAGAAAATGATTTGTTAAAAGTGATCAAAAAAGTTGTGGCTCGATGATGACTTTGCAAAGTTTATTTTTAGTGACAGTGATGTCTGAGCGCTGCCTTCATTAAACGTGCAGGCAGCCTGGAAATAGAAATGTACTTTTACTGTAAACAGGACAGCTTTTAGCTAGCCTTAAAGAATTTTCTTCATATCGAAAAAAAAATAGTTTTTCAGCTTAAATCTGTTGACACACAATTTAAGGCCCAACTTTTCTCAAATATTGCTTCTTTCTCCACACCAGACCAAGCAGTTTTAATTGGCCGTAACTGTAGCCTGTGGCTGTTGCCTCGACCCCATGTTGCACCAGTCTGACTAAATCACTCTCATTTTGACATGCTACTTTGGGCTCAATTACAAAGTGCCTGTAATCTACAGAGAAAGAGAGGAAGCTTGTAAAAGTTGTAATGCATCAGCTGCTGTGGCTTTCAGATGGCAAAATAATTGTTCTTTCCAGGATCTAAGTTTAAGATCTTTTTAGGAATACAAGTGCGGTCACTGTTGCCTCACAACCATGAAATTATTGCTGGCCACTAAAAGGAGCCTAAGTTCTTGTTCTCTGATGTACCAAATGTTTGGGGAGCATACTTTCCTGACTGCAAACAATTCCCTGGACTCAGGTCAGTTTGTGTGCGACCAAAATTAGGCCCCCTCGTCTTTTTTAATCACCAAAGGCACCACCTCACCCGTCAATGACCTTACTGTCTCTATATAACACATTTTGGTGACTTAGAAAACTACTGAAACGTTAGAATAAAAAAAGGTGAAGCACTCATATAAATATACATTTACTCACAGGGTTCCCGTGGGTCCTTAAAAAGTCTTAAAAGGCGTTGAATTCTTCAAAATAAAACCAAGGCCTTAATTGGTATTAAAATGTCTCAAATCAGTCTTTCGTATGTCTTAATTTTTAAAACATCATAAATAGGATCATTTTTATTGCGATTTATTTTTATAATCTAAATAAAACATAAAAAAAAAATAACGGCTCGCCATTATTGGTTCCGTCCCGATAGCGGAACCAATAAAAGCGTTGTTGCGGCCGGGACATTTGGGTGATGCACCATTAAAGTTTTGTCTGGAAAATATGAGCAAGTGTAAATGTAGCAAAAATTGTCTATCCAGTCAAGAGTTTTCTCCATGGCTAAAACCAGGGAACATACATGAGGCACAGTCATTCAAGCTCAGAACAATGGGAATTAAGGCAGTGGAGTCGAACATGCGAAGTGCGAAACACAAAGCGTCAAAATCGAGTTACTGAGAAACAGCCGGTGTAGGTACCAGATTGACTCGGGCTGCCAGATTGACTCGGGGGCCTGCGCCTTTTGAGATGCGTCAGAGCGTCCGCCATCTTAAATGTGGCAAATCTGCATTTTCTCAGTCACTTAAACAGTATCAGAGGGACTTTAATCTCTGAATATACTTTGTATTCGTAGTATTTTTGGTTTTGTAATATTACAAGTTTATTTTTTGTATCCCTTTAGCTTCATTCTCCTGAATTTATTCTCGTTACAAATGCAGACCGCGGGCTCAATGTAGTTTGTTTGAGTGGCATTGCCATAATGTCACGTCATCGGGAGGCGCAAGGCCCATGGCGAATTCGGTGACGTCATCAGAAGGCGCAGGGACCATGGAGAATGTCTTCGTAAAATTGTCCGTTTACAAACAGCAATCCCGCTTTCGAATAAAACCTACACCCCGCTATAATTACTTTAGTAAGCTGTCCAGACCAATCAAAATGTTTTGCGCAATTGTGCAAACGTTAAAACAATTATGTATTGTGACGTCATCAAAAGGCGCAGGCCCCCGAGTCAATCTGGCAGCCCGAGTCAATCTGGTACCTACACCGGTATTTCTCAGTTTAGTTCCACCCTTGTCTCTGCAACGCCTCCACTTATCACCAAATCAAACATACTAAGAAAACCATACAAAGAAAAATAGCTGCAAAAAAGACTTAGCACTGGTTTATTGTGGCTTTAAAACGTATTTGTTTTGATGTCTTCTAAAAAAAAGTTTGTGAATTCAGTTAAATAATTGTTAAAATATATCTGTCATTTGTGTGTTTTTAGCTTTCTTCCTGTATGGGAAGCTTTTCAAAATATGAAACATTAGTGCAGTGGTTTATGTTAAAATAAACCTTTGGGTTAAGTTGTCGCAAGCAGGTTTTTCTTGTGTTTCTTGTGAATTTGGTCTTAAATTTTTATTTCAAGTGGCATTAAAAAGTCTTAAAAAGTCTTGAATTTAACTTGCCTTATGCTGTAGGAACCCTGTACTCAGACGGGTAAATGTCAAAAATGCGAATTAAAGCACCAAATTCAGTTTCCAAGAAATGCCAATTTCACCTAAACTAAAATATTAGAAACAACCAGCTGTTGCTAAGTTGTTGCATCAGTGAACTGGGAACAACTAGCTTCTTTAGCACTGAGCTTTTTTGGTGCAGCCTCCTTGTGAAGATTTGAAGCCTGTCCGTATCAGAACTGCAAAGCAACTATTTTATCAACTGTTCCACTATGCAGCCATGGTTATCGGTTCCTGCCAATTAATATAGGCCATGAAGGATTTAATTACTCTGTACTTAATACCCTACATGAAGTGTCCTTCTGCAACATTAACCTCAGATAAACTCCTCCTGGGAAGCCAGCTATCATTTAGCACAGTCTGCTGACACACAACTAGGGAAACATGCTGTAGTGCTGCTGGGAAAGGAGAAAGGGCCTCTAAGCTCCATGTTTGTGTGAAATGTGTGACACTGAGCGCCCCCTGGTGCTCAGAAAACTAAGCTCTGTCTGGTATAGCTTGGGGCGAAGTTGTAAGACAAATTTATTTTTGTGTTAATTCTCGTCAGCGGGTCTTTTTTTAGTTCAGTCTCTATTTTGATCTTTGAGTGTCTTTTAATGTCTGTCTTTTAGTGTTTTTATATTTGTTTCTTAACATCAACTTTCATGTCTCTCTCATTGGAAGAACACGTATTAGATATGTCTATAAAAAAAAACTTATTCTTTTGAATATATTTTTATTTCTTGCAGATAAATGTCCTACAGTCTAAGAGAAGATCAGAAATCCTGAAATCGGTAACTATCTCCTAACCACAATGAAGCCAACTGGTCGTTGTTGCTTTTCTATGTTTTTGAACAATCTCTGTGTACTTTGAACAGATGCTGTCCTTCATGTACGCCCATCTGACATTCTTCCATCAAGGATATGACCTCTTCAGTGAACTGCAGCCTCTTATGAAGCAGCTGGGCGGGCAGGTATGACAAGCTTCTAAAAAAACATTTAGATTGAGCTTTATTTTGTTCAGCTACGGTACTCAGATGTTTTAGTGCAAACTAGAGAAAGAAATCAGTGCAGAACCTGATTGTTCACATTACTACCCGAAAATTGTTGGATTTTTTGGATTTGATCACATTTATTACCTCCCATGATGAAACAAATCTCTATCATAAATCTCGTTATACTGTAGCAGTATAATCTAACCTGGGGAAAAAATGAGAAACTTCCAGTCTTTAACTTAAATACATTTATTTGGTGTAAAAAAAACAGGTCCTACGATAAAAAGTAATTTATTTTTGTCCTGATGATAGAATTATTCGTACCTTCAACACCATTTAAATAAATAAGACTGGGGTCTCTTTTTAAATTTGCATTATTTAATTTCTTTATTTTAAAGTCAAGAGTTAATATGAATTATTGGTAATCCTTAACCTACACTGCCGTATTTTTATATAACCTGCTATATAGGGAAATGTCTTTGAACCATTTTACTAGGCTGGACTTAGAACCATATGAACCTTGTTATGTAACAAGCAATGCGCACAGTTTAACAGGCCCAAACCGGTTTGCACGTCTTAAAATATTTGAAATTTGTAGATCACCAACACTCCCACTCATTGCATGCGCCAAAAAAAATAATAAAAAAATAGCATTTGAAATTTGGCATTTCTTAGTCAGACATTTTCTAAGAGGCCCAAAATTTGAAATTCATAAATTAAAAAAACAAAACAATCAAAAGGGTAAAAAAAAAAAAAAAAAAAAAAAAAAGAAAAATAAAAATACCTAAATAAAAGACCTAAATATGTAGTTTTTGAGGCTTTTTTTTGTTTGTTTGTTTTTACCTCTTTATGCAAATGTATTTTTATTATGATTGCAGCATCAACAACAAACATGACAGTTCTCAAGAATATTCTACAGACAAATTTATAAAGATGCCTTCATTAAAATAAATCTCCAGAAGCAGTTATTTAATATATTTGTTTACAAAATAACAGCGTTTTACCTGCCATGGAGGAAAAGGAACACAGCAGATTTTAAGCGGTGTTAAAAAGAGAAAATAAATCATGTACATTAAAGCAAATTTAATATTAAGTGTAATGCTAAACTAGGAGTCCTCCTATAAAGTTCTGAATGACCAAATATTTGTGAGTTTTTCACAGTTTATGCTTATCTAATACAAAGCCTTAAAAATGTTTCAAAGTTTATGATTGTGAAAAATGTCGTTCTCCTGAGTAATATTCATTTCAAGGAGCTTAAAAAAACAAAAAATCTGCAGAACTTCTTTTTGTTTTTTTTTTAATGGACAGACACTGATGTTCAGAGAAAATCTTTTAAATGAGTCTGTAAAAGGCTTTTTTTAATAAAAAGAAACAAGGGGGGCTGATGCTAACTAGGGGGCGAAGGCTGCAGCTATTGGAAGTTGCTGCCCTTGGGTTAGAAGATGATAAAGCGCACAGGGTTTAAAGCAGTAGCCCTCAGGTCATATGTCATCACATAGAAAATGTGATATATTGGCGGCTATTCACAGAACATGGCAGGGAGTTGAGGAGAAATGTACGGAAGAGGGAAAAAAAAAGAAAAAAGTTAACTGATTTTTTAATTTTATTACAGTTTAGTATGGGAAAAAAGTGAGAATTCTGTCTTTAATCTCAGAATTCTGTCTTTAATCTCAGAATTCTGACTTTTTTTTCTCAGAATTCTGTCTTTAATCTCAGAATTCTGACTTTAATCTAAGAATTCTGACTTTTTTTATTGTCAGATTTCAGTCAGAATTCTGAGAATTTAAAAAAAGTCAGAATTCGGACTTTTTCCCATACTAAACTGAAATAAAATGTAAAAATCAGTTAACTTTTATTTATTTTTTTCCCAGTGGCCTCTTCCGTATAAATGAGACAAAAATCTGTTAAATATGTTTAAGAAAAAGGGTTACTGATATTTCTCTAATAATTAGACAAATTGACTAATTTGTCTAATTATTTTTTTTTCCTTGTTTGCCTGCTTCACATATTTTTATTAGACAGCCTCTCTGTTTAGAAATCTTACTTATCAGAGGATCAGTATTATAGTCAGAGAAACCAAAGGGAAGAAGCAGATGTGCTCTATATTCATCCTTAATGGATCCGTAGGCAAGATCAAGAGTTTTGTTTATAAAACCAGGACAGTTAACACACTGATTGTGTGATTAGTGACATGCCTCACTAATTCACACAAAAGGTTAGTGAGGCATGACCTCAGTTTGCAATGGTTAAAATCACCCAATATAAAAACAGGTGCATCATGGGAAAAAAGCTGTTTTTTCCCTATGGATTTACTTATTAAGGAACCTGTGGTTTTGACGTTGGATTTGGGAGATAACTCAGATAAATATCTGAGGGAACTTCCTTAAGTAATGAAGTGGACAGACTGACACAACAGTTCAACATAGATTGCATGTAAAATCCCAGACTTTAACACTGTTACTTCATCTTTTGCTGATGTATATGGAGGCCCTGCCTCCTTGGGATTTCCCTGTTGCATCATCTCTACCCAGCTGCACAGGAACCCCAAAGCCAGTGAGCTCAAACTCTGAATCACTTTCCCTCTTAGAGAGCCAAGTTTTTGGTTAGGGCCAACACACTGCAATCATGATTTGTTTTGAGGTGAATGAACGTTTAAAAGAATCAATTCAATTCAATTCAGTTTATTTATATAGCGCCAAATTCACAACACATGTCATCTCAAGGCACTTTACAGTTCAACCAGATCATACAGTCAAATTGATACAGTTTTCTATCTAAGGAAAACCAGTTGATTGCATTGACTCATTGACTCAAATACAATCCCCCACACTAAGCATGCTTGTAGCGACAGTGGAGAGGAAAAACTCCCTTTTAACAGGAAGAAACCTCCAGCAGAACCAGGCTCAGTGTGAGCGGCCATCTGCCGAGGCCGACTGGGGTTCAAGGAGACAGAAGCAGAGATACAAAAAGCAGCTGTAAAAGGCGGCCCCGTCCAGGAAACACACAGCCAGGCAGACGAGCTCCAAGGCAGCTCCCATGTCAGAGGACGAAGAGAGCACATCCACTCAGTCACGGTCAGAGAAACAGGACCACACTGGAAAACAGGCCGATCTCCAACATCTATAAACAAGGGTGTTGATAGAAGCAGCACAGCTGATGTTTCTTTCCAGGATGACGTCACAGCCAAACAGGAACAGACGAGGCAAAGCTACTCTGAGGAAAAGCAGAGAGAGCAGAAGGTTAGAGATTGAACTAACAGATTCTGCAGAATAGGAGAACAGAGAGAGAATGAAGCAGAATGATGAAATGGGGGTCCCTATGTCCTCCAAAAGTCTAAGCCTATAGCAGCATAACTATAGAGATAGCTCAGGATAACCTGAGCCACCCTAACTATAAGCTTTATCAAAAAGGAAAGTTTTAAGCCTAGCCTTAAAAGTAGACAGGGTGTCTGCCTCACGGACTAAAACTGGTAGTTGGTTCCACAGGAGAGGAGCCTGATAACTAAAAGATCTGCCTCCCATTCTACTTTTAGAAATTCTAGGAACCACTAGTAAACCTGCAGATTGAGAGCGAAGTGCTCTGTTAGGAACATAAGGAACAATCAGATCTCTGATATAAGATGGAGCTTGGCCATTTAAGGCTTTATATGTGAGAAGGAGGATTTTAAATTCTATTCTTGATTTAACAGGAAGCCAATGAAGAGAAGCCAGGATAGGAGAGATATGATCTCTCTTTTTCATTTTCATTAGAACTCTGGCTGCAGCATTTTGGATCAGCTGAAGGCTTTTAACTACAGTTTGTGGACTTCCTGATAGTAAAGAATTACAATAGTCCAGCCTTGAAGTAACAAATGCATGGACTAGTTTCTCAGCATCACCCCTGGACAGGATATTTCTAATTTTTGCAATGTTCCTCAGATGAAAGAAGGAAATTCTAGAAACCTCTTTGATATGGAATTTAAATGACAGGTCCTGATCAAAAATAACACCAAGATTTTTTACTTTATTATCTGAAATCAGTTTAATCCCATCCAAATGAAGTGACTGGCTAATCAGTTTCTTTTTCAGAGACTCTGGTCCAAAGACTATAACTTCTGTTTTGTCTGCATTCAGAAGCAGAAAGTTAAGAGTCATCCAGGTTTTTATGTCTTCAAGACATGCCTGTAATCTATGTAATGGGTTAGCTTCATCTGGATTTATAGACAGATATAGCTGGGTATCATCAGCATAACAGTGGAAATTAATCCCATGCTGTCTAATAATTCTACCAATTGGGAGCATGTATAAAGTAAAGAGAATTGGTCCTAGCACTGATCCCTGTGGTACTCCACAGGTAACCTTTGAGCGTGTTGAAGATCTATCATTAACATGAACAAACTGAATTCGATCAGATAGATAAGATTTAAACCAGTCTAGTGCTGTTCCTTTAATTCCAACAAAATATTCAAGTCTTTCTAAAAGAATATTATGGTCAACTGTATCAAATGCAGCACTAAGATCCAACAGGACGAGCACAGATACAAGTCCATTATCTGAGGCCATGAGAATATCATTAGTGACTTTCACCAGAGCTGTTTCAGTGCTATGATGAGCTCTAAAGCCAGACTGAAACTCTTCAAAAAGTTCATTATGGTGGAAGTGATCGCAAACTTGTTTGGCAACTACTTTCTCAAGAATTTTGGATAAGAAAGGAAGATTGGATATAGGTCTATAATTGACCAAGTCATCTGGGTCAAGAGACGGTTTCTTAAGCAGAGGTTTAATTACAGCAACCTTAAAAGCTTTAGGTACATATCCCTGTAACAGAGATAGATTAATCACATCTAAAATGGAGGAGGAGATCAAAGGGAATACCTCCTTAAATAACCTGGTTGGAACTGGATCTAACATACAAATTGAAGGCTTAGATGAAGACAATAATTTTGCTAATTCAGAGAGTTCAACTGGATCAAAGCAGTCTAAACCCGGTTCAGATTCCAT